GGGGGGGGGCGCAAATGTTGCCGTCAACGCAGTCAATTTAACGCCCGGGGCTCTCCTACTTCATCGTTAGTCAGGTGAAGACAACTTTTTGCTTCAGGTTTATCCGTTTGAGAAAAATTGTAATGTGCAGCCTATCTGACGAAGGTTAGACTCCTGCCGGTGAGCCAGTTGTCAAACGGACAGGCAGGGTTGAATCTTTGCTTGTTAATAACGACCTCTTATTGTCGTCAAAATGTTGCGCGTATGCCGCAAATCCTTCGCATCAGCCCTCATCTGCTGTCCTCATTTATGAAACCTAGACCTGGCGCGAAAACGAAAGTGACTGCTAAACCCGCATGTCTTTAAGAGTTACATCCGAGTGAAGCGCATCGCTGTAGCGCCTCCACTGTCGCAATCTGCAATCTCTGCGGCGCTGGCGTAAGGATGTCACAAGCCATCCAATCAAGACTCTGGACGTCTGGTTTGCACACTTTATCCGCCCCCCCGCCCTTTGCGTTACGCTCTAAACACCATCAACGGAGATGTATCTCCAACCGGTTGCGTAGATCCGAACGGGACTGCAGTATCGGCTATCGTGTTTTCTCTCGCCTGCCCCCCGAATGTCGTCTTTTCGTATTTGTATCGGTAAAGATCTGGAGTTTGGTGTCGGACCCACGATGCTCCGTATCTGTCCTTGAAAAAGAAAGTTGGTTGGGCTTATCGGACCCGTTGACACCGACCGCCGTGTCAGGTTGGTAAGCAGGTGCTCGCTTTGTCATGATATTACAGGCCTTGAGCAGTGTGCGTGTTCACACATGTTTTCATGTGATTCTAGGTCATTTTCTTCTGACCGAGGCCTGGATGCTAAATTTTCTCGACGCGCTATGAGTCAGACTCCGCTGACTCATGCCGTGCTGTGATGACTTTCTCTTTAGAAGCTCGCATTATCGACTTACAATCGCGTGCTTATAAAATTAACGGCAATATCGTTTATCGACACCCACGCTTTCACATTTCGCGTTGACGTACTCAGTCTATGAATAACTGGATGTGGGGGCTTCAGCCCCCAAAGTATACGGCTCTGTGGTTTCGTTGCCGGACAATTGTCTGGGTCAAAACTGGTTTGAACAGGGCCTATGAAATGCTAGCCAGCCTGTCCCGATCACGTCAGCGGCCACCTTTGGGGATACTTTAAATGCAGCGTCCAACCCCTCCAAGCGTCCGTCCTATTGCAACGTCAGGATTAAGTTAATATGCAATTGTAGCGGTCAAAGAGTTCGACTTTTATCACAGATTTTGAGTTTGTTTGAGGTTTGTCAGATTTGCTTAATTTGACTTGACTCAATTTTGAAAGAACTCGAGGCGTTCGGGAGGATTTGAATCCGCATAGTGGAGAAGGACTTTACCGGAAGCCAACGCTCTAACCACTTGAGCCACAAACGCCCCACCTCGCGCCATGAATTTAATAACACTTGGGCGCGAGGTGGGGCGTTTGTAGCTCAATTGGTTAGAGCGTTGGCTTCTGGTAAAGTCCTTCTCTACTATGCGGGTTTAAATCCTTCCGAACGCCTAGATTTTTTTCACAATTTGATCAACTCAAATTTGTTCCGTCTAACGGAAGAAGTCAATCAGCTACCAGGAGAGCAATGTATTCGGTACATAGGGCAGGTTG